GCCCACCTTTTGAACTAGTCGATTACAAGACAATCGTTGGTTACCTCGCGAAACCAAATATACTCAACGCTCTCTTTGGCGGTGGCAGCCAAACGAAGGTCACCAGCCTGCCTATGAGTCCAAAGACAATCTTGAACACGTTGGCCATCAAGCTCAACAACAACTACAATGAAAGACACAACACAACGGATATGCACTTGACCGGTCGAACTCTGCTGCTACGACTCCGAAGGTACAAGGGGAAATATCAGGCCACCAAATCTCTCAGCTCAAAGACCGGGGCTGGCCTGGAGCCAAAACACCACACTCGCGGTATACACACTATGGAGGCTTTGTTGGATTCAATGTGTCCCTGCTACCTTGAGATGGATGCCCTGTTTTGTGACAAAGGTAACATTAACCCGCTCGGAATCCTTGACACTGGACTTGGGCCTGAACATTTGAAAGACTCTGAAGACAAATTACCAAGCAAGAGTGATGTCACTGACGGAAACAACCGATATGGCCTCACACCGGGTAAGATTGATGTTTTTATTTATGTATCACTTGTCATATCGGATCTGACCCGACGTGCCGTCACATTCCCTTCCTGACCTGTTGATATTCTTCAAGGTCAAGGACCATTCAATAAGGTTCCGCGTGGCTTTCCCAGCGCAGACACTGAGGAAGTGTTGGATGAGGGTATCTTCAATACTCAACCACTATCGCCGTCCCCAGCATCTCCTTTAATCACACCTGGAAGTCCAGACCCTCTGAACGTGCATTATCGAAAATTTCTGGACAACGACATGGTTTTGCCGCCACCAACCCCCGAAGGCCAAGACGCAGAGGCAGTCATCATACAACCAGCGCCAGTATCCAATGTGGAGAAAAGATCTCTAGCTGCCTCTGGCGCCACCCAGTCTACTTTCAATTCGAAAGGTCTCAAGGTCAATAAAAAGAAGCGGTGCGCTAGCAAGTACGCTCTGACTGCAGAAGAGCATGCCCTGGACTCAAGTTTGGAAGATGATGCCCACACTAACGACGCTCCTGCGACCCAAGCCTCTGCGGTTCGCGGTTCTCGAGCGACTCTGGCCCGGCGTGCAATGGACCCCCTGCCTTCGATTGATCTGTCGCATGTCCATTCCAAAGATCATAAGCACGCCCTGGCAACTGCCATTCAACAAGCCAACGATGCGAAGATGGAGGTCATCGCAAAAGCTCAAGATTGGCGTCAACAACTTGAACAGGCGCAAATGAAAGCGGATGAAGCCCGCATACAAGCTGAATCAGAGGATTGTAAATCAAACCTGACCTGGACCAAAGAGCGATATTTCCTGGATCGTGAAGACCAACATGAGAGTGAGGTGAGGAGATTAGCTCAAGACATCCGCAAAGAACGAAAGGCCTTTTGTGAACGATTGGTTTTAGAAGGGAAGACACCTCAAGAACTCGAGGCGTTCCTTTGGCTAATTTATCCTGAAGATGATGCAGTGTAACACCTATGATCTCTTTTGCTATTGATTTACTTGGCTATCTCATTTGTGATTTGTATCTTAGTGATTGTGTGTGCCTGGTCATCTTGGTTCTCTTTGTCTGTAATCACTGCTTGCGTGATTTTTTTTAACAATCTTTTCTTCGAGATTGTGTGAGACGGTTCATCTGGGTTCTCTTTCTCTGTAGTCACTGCTTGCGTCATTTTTATTTCACAATCTTCTCTTCTATTTGTTATGTTTAGTTTTTGATGATCAGATTGAAGTGCAATAAGATACTACACCGTGTTCTGTAACAACACCAGTAAGCGCGTACAACATTAATCGAGATATTGATTAAGTACCACTGACGTGCATGAAGATGCAGTGGTTGATGCCTCGTGACACCGTTTTGTTGTGCGTTCGCGTCCTTGCGGTAGGTTTGTCGTGTGTCAAACGTGTGTCAAAGTGGTGTGTCCAATTTGTTTTTGTTGGACTCAACAAGAACAGCAACAGTGCATTACTCATAATAAATAACATAACAGACCTACGCGACTACAACGATGTAAGACAAAGACAAAGTGGCATTTGAAAAAAAATACAACTTGAGCTAGATCCACACTACAGCCACAAAATACTACACAATCAGTTGGATGAAAGAGAAAGTGAGAGAATGAAAATACAGAAATATCAAGAATAAAATAAGCGAAAAGTTGAAACCAAAAGAGGGAGGGGACTTCATGATGTAATCGGTAGGCCGCCACTCTGCCAGTTGTAAGCAACTGCGTGGTCTTGAACAGCATCACGTTTGGATCTTCCTCTTTCCATCACATCCAAGTCTGGCACGTTGCCTCCGTCCCGAATTACCCCCGCGTCTCCTGGTTCCCTCAACATGACATTGTCATCTTCATCGTTCCAGGCATTCCCCAAGTCAGCCAACATGTTGTGTAAGATAATGCAACATCGAATCCAGTGTAGGATGTGACCCATATCCTCCCAACTGTTTACCCCCAATCTCAAACCTTGAAGGGAAGCCCAACAAGATTTAAGGATACCTATACAGTGCTCGTTTCAAACACAAGATTTTGCTACACACCAATTGAAGCATTTGTTCCTGTCAATTTCGGCAGCCTGTCCTTTGTACAATGGCACCACAGTTTCGGATGGGATGTAAGCGGAATCAGCTATGATATATTTGTCTATGAAATGAAACAATCAGCACTTTATACCTGGAGCAACAGGAGGAGAAGTGCGTACCTTTGGCAAAAAATCTGTCAGGATGATTGAATATTTCCGTCTTGGAATACACAGTGCTGTCGCAGCACGATCCCGGCCAACCTGCATACGCATAGGTAATTTGTCGGTCGCTGTCTCAGATGATTTGGACGTTGAGAGAATAGTGGTGCTTCCGGTCAAAAAAAACTTCCCCATTGCGTCCAGGCCGCTGGAACAGAGGTATGGTAGTTCCGTCAACAAAGCCCACACAACCCAGAAAACCATCTCGCTCCAGAACTTTGGAGATGGCTTTCCGTCTGTCTGCATTTGGCCACGAAAGGTAATGGGCGCCTACATCTAAAATGGCCGAGATTATGCGACGACTGCAATTAATGACGGAACCACGACCAACTTTGTAATTTCGGGCAAACCGGCCAACCGAGGCACCATTGCCGTTACTACCGAGGCGCTCAAGGGTAATGGCCAGTTGTTTTTCCACTGGAGGCTGAGGGTTATTGCTAGATGAGACAAAGACCGGGTGTGATCGAATCAAGTCAAGTAACGCTTGAAAGCCTTCAGGTGTTGTCCACATGGCTTGCCGAAAATCCGTTCTTCTGGTTTGCAGCATATCTCGTAGGTCAAAAGCTGTAGGCAGCGGAGTTCGTAAACAAGCATTCAGGTAGCGCCTTGAGGTGACCTGAGCAAGGAGTTGGCCCCCTTCTTCTTCATGATCATAAAGATCATTGTACAAGGTGGATAAAGTGGCATCGTTACTGAAAATCAATTGCCCATCCGTTGGGTTGTCTGGGTCTGGGGGTGTCCCAGGGATGCGAACGTCTGAGGTCGTGTGGGCCAACAGATACAGGTTGGTGAGTCCACGCATTGCAGAAACCCTTTGGGAAACTTGAGGCATGGTGGCAAATGAAAAGTGCGTTGAAAGGCGAGGAAACGTCAAAAGACCAGGATATTGGGTGATAGGTTCTGAGAGGATGAGTGAGTGTGAAGGGAAATCTGATTGAACGTGGTGTATGTTAATCACTCGTTGGCGGGACAGAGCAGTGTTTGTTCTCATCTCATACAATTAATCATACAATGAAAAAAACCGTGGAAAAAAACAAAAACCAAAAGAAAAAAAGGAAGTTTGTCCTTGAAAAAAAAAGAACCAGACATTGTCCCTTTATTTACAAGGCCGTAAACGGGAATTTCAAGACCGTTCACGCGGCCACGATCCGATATTTTAAGGATCTAACGATGTTAAAAAACCTGATCGCAGCTCTGCGTCAGGTTGTTCACATTTTTGAACTTGAACCGCCCTATTATCTTCACTTTCTCTCGGCTTTTTGAGTTAGACAGCTTTTTTATTTTTTCTTGTTTACTTTTCATCTACTCGTCTTGAATCATTGAAATCCTCTTTACCCTGCACACTTCACTTTTACTTGTTTTGATTCCATCACTCTTGTGATGATTAGACACTCACCATTGTTGCAAGGGTAAAGGATTGGTCCCTAATCTTTGTGTGTATTGAGTAATGATTTGTACAGTCTGTACAGTCTGCACAAGCTGTACCAGGTTTGAGATTTGGGCTTTGAGGTCTGTACAGTCTGTACCGGGTTTGAGGTTTTAGGTTTTGGGTTTGTCCTCCACCCTCCTCTCTGGTCCATCGTAGCTTTGTTCAAACTTAACCTGTCCCTCTCGGTTACAAAGACTCGGTCCTCAAGGAGTGTTTGCAAGGGAGAGGGACAGGCCAAGTTTGGGCTTTGTTAATCTCCACTTTCAAGTGGTTGCATGTAATAAAAATTCCTCAACAAAGGAGGGAATGAGGCTTCCTGTGATGTACAAACAATTGTCTGTACAGACTGAGCGTTCAGGCAGGGCCTGAGATGACCTGAGCGGATCAGGTAGTCCTCCCTCAGGCTCCTTGGCTAAGCAATAAAAGCTGAGGAAGCCTGGCTCATATGCTTAGCTCTCAGCTCATGTCAATCATGTCTGATTACATGATCAACATGAGCTGAACGCACTCAGTTTTGGAAGGAAAAAGGTAGAAATCTTGAAGAAAACTTGAAGCTTTTCATGCTCACCTCTATGTGAGCTCTTGTTTGGGCCCCTGTGAAAAGAATTTATGCATAAATTGATATCTAAACTTATAGGAAAGTTACCTTTAGATACCCTTGAACACACAACATCGTCGGTGTGTTTCACATTTGCATCAAGAATCCTGGCACCAGACAAAAAGCATGTAGGCGAGAAATAGCAGCAGCTTAATTTTGTTGTTGTGGATTCAATAAAAGATTAGTATGAGATATTTGAGCCAAGATTTGTTTGATGAATTTACAATTAACTAGTCTGTGATGTCATGAAACCCCTCGCCATTGTATATATACGCGCATCCCACGCTCGATAGTTGCGGGAAGGAGATGGGTAGCTTAATGATCTTACCTTTTTCATTGTGCCTAACAAAGTTCTGGACAATACTTTATCAACAGTTCTGGGAGTTAGATAAAGGATCCAACCTTCTCGCTTTTCACGTATAAATCGTAACACGTAATCGGCGGCGGCGCCTTCACGCCTTTTATTATGCAATCTATGGTTCAGCCAAAACACAGTACTTTCGTGTACCGGTAATTTTTCAAAGTCTTCAGTGAAAGAATTGGACTCGTGTGGTTTTCCGGGAGGGTAGGTTGCTCCACGAACAGGCCACCAATTGAATTTAGTCTCTGGGATCCGTTTCCATTTTTCCAAGATCCAATCATGGGCATCGAGAACATCTTGTTCCATATTGGTTTGTACACGATTCAAAGAGAGTATTTCAGAACAGATGGTGACCATCTCTAGGAAATTATCCCAAAGCGTTTGCAGATTAACTATCACATGTCTCGCTGGATGCTCGTTAGGCTCGTGTTTCAATATTGAGTTCGTGAAATCTTGAAGTTGCGGTTGGTGTTTCTCAAGTAAAGCGCGAGACGACATCGGTATGGGTTTGGCGAAGTCCAAGTCGACTTCTTCTGGAGGAGATGTGTCTGACAAGTGGAGCAAAGTGTGCATCTTATGTACCCTTTCTGAATACGCTGATGTAGCCTCGTTGAATCTTACGTCAGCCCAGGTGCTCGAATAATTTTCTTTGATACCCGTTATTTTCGAGCGCATCTTGTCAAAAATCTCTGGTATAGTTTCTTCATTGCGGGGTTCTTCCAAGTCAGAATGCTTCTCAGATTGAAATTCAAGATTAGTATGAGGCTTAGATTGTGGCGAAGATGGCTGCGAACTTGGGCGAGTGGATGAGTCCGTAGGATGAATTTGGCTATCTGCGGATGTTGAAAACAGTTTTGATTGACTGAAGGATTCATCATTTTCATCTAATGAAGAAGAAGCATGAAGTGTTTTTCGCTTGGAAGGTTGAGAATCGATTTGATAAGTCCGAGTTGGGCGCTTAAGCTGTCCTGATCTTGGAGAGCTTGCCAACGCATCTTGATAAGGTAGTTTTGTGTTCTGAGAGCTCGTTATATCTTGGTCCAAATTCTGCCGAGCTAGACTTCTCAAAATAACACGTCAGGTTTGCTTACCTTGAAGTGAGGCCGAGTGGAATACCGGAAGTCTGAAAAGACAGGGTACGATACCTGGATTAGCTCGATCCAATTCGACTTCATTGCTTTTCCACTCAATGAGCCTTGGACTTGCGGTATCATCTGACTTCTCAATGCCACTCGCGACTTTGAAATTTCTCGATGGTTGGGTGTCCAAGAAGCCACTTGGCGTCTGTGCTGACGAGACGCCATACTGTTCAGAAAGAGGTGAAAAAGGCATATGGGGATCCATCAAAAAGCTTTCCAACTCTGGTAGGACGTCTAAGTGTGGTAGCAAATCGAGTTCATGAATAAGTGAGTCAAGTGTGATTGGTGAGTCTTGGGAGCTGTAATCCGCCGACTGAGGGTCAAAAAACATCGCATCCTTGTTCAAGTTTAATCAGGGACACTTACGATTCTGAAGACCAATCTGACCCTTCTTTTATAATAGGCGATATTGGCTTTGTGCTGTCAGATATGCCATGGTCAAGATGGTCGAAAGTTTTTCCAAATGTCTCAAGCTGGTTTGATAATGGAGCACTGGCCGGAAGGGGGTGCAGCTGTGATGACATATCATGCAAATTTGATCTGGGCGCTTTGTGGAAGGTTTGAGACTCGAGGGAGTTTTCAAAGTTGTGACTGTGTCCGAGGTTATTGAATACATGACTTTGTGGAGAACGGATCAAATTGCCATCGAGGGTCTGATAGTCAGGTGAAGATTGCGAAAACTCGGTAGGAGGCATATTCCAGAAGGCCTGAGGGGTTTCGTGGAACTCATGATGTGCCAAGACTCCTGCGACCTCGTGCGCTTTGAAGTCCCTCTTGATACCTGTAATGCTTTTGTAGAGGCTATCCGGCGGAAAGTCTCCATTTTGTAGAGCTCCACCGGGACTGTGAACCGAGATCGGTGGGGGCAGAGGCGATCCCAGATGAGACATAGAACTTGTATCTTCAAACAGTGCGGTGTTTCCAACAGGAGAGCCAGTCGTGGTGATAGCATGATAAAGGTCCACTGGAGAAGAAGACATGTGAGAATTTGATAGTGGGTAATGATTATATACGTCCCAAGCTGGTACAGAAACTATTTCAGGCAATTCCTCGAATACAATCTCCTGGAAGTGATCGCGATGAGGAGCATGTTCATGTTCTACTGATACTTTTCCGAACATCTCTAAGGTTTCAACCCGATCATCGGGAACACTTGGGCTCTTTTGAGCCTTGAATGTGTTCCAATCACCGCTTGCGAATAGGTCTTCAAGCCCTGACCATTCTTCAAGTTTGTCCCTGTGGGCGTCCAATGGAGGAGAAGTGAACAGATGGGTGTCATGCCAAAGAGATGCTGTCTCAGTCTGCAAAGTCGAAAGCAATGAGTGGTGCTGGGATCCGTCTCCTATCTCCTGATATACTGAGCGCTGCTCCGGACTCTCGGCTCCGCTCCACCAATTATTCGCCAGTCGGTCGGGTGTGTTGAGAACGCCTGGATCTTCTTGACCAGGAGAGTCGAAACTTGGGACGGGCTTCCAAGAAGTAAAGCAAACAAAAAAGTCAAGGCTCATTCTGCACCTTGATCGCCGTGATACTTGGTTTCTTCACTGACATGTTTTCCATTTCCACCGGTGTATATTCTATCAACCGGCGATCCTGGCGTGTCGAACAGTGTGCTAGTTGCCGTATATTCGTTTTCGAGAAAAGAGACGTCGTGCTGATGGAGTAGCGGATTCCGAGGTTCTGCCAAATGAGACCATGATTCTGGAGCAAAGCGGGATGCATCCCAAATGCCCATTGCTGTCAGTAACATAGGCCAATGAAAAATGAAGGCCATCCTCTGGCATGATCTCTTGTTGAATAGATCCATGGTCGGGCGGCTTGATCTCGAGATGTCTGTTGCTCGCGGCCTTAAACACTTGGGTGACTTGAAGGGTTTAGTTGTAACTCAAGTTCTGTCCGTATGTGCCACAAATTATGTTGTCTCATCTCAAGTACTGCCAAAGTATGACCAAGTAGTCTCGGACGGCATCGGCACTTTGCAAATTTCGTCACTGGTAATTAGTGAGCTCCCTGATGCTTAAGTGCGAAAAGCTGCTAACTTCTTCACTTGTCCAGGTCTCGGCCCCGAGAATCTTCGAAGATTTATCGTTCGATAAATATTCCTTCCGAGCCGAGCCCTGGACGAACATACGAGGAAGGGCAAGAACTGAAAACATGACATGCAGAATGGATAAAACAGTCTTGTTGTTGCCGCACCAATGTCAAACACGTATCATCTGCATGTCTCCCAATGTATTTTGATGACTGAAATTGACGAAATAATTTCAAGGTGAAAGAAACCAATATCATGATCATATGATGGATTCATGATGATGATGATGATGATGATTTCCGAGCGGAGAGCTTGACTGCTGTCAGTGTCGCCGCGGTCAAACACCCCAATACCCAGTTGTAGGAGGTTGTAGGTCTACACACAGCTTGGTGCTCTTCTATTGTTGTCTTCGTCTAAGCAGTTTTGTCAGCTGAGCTGAGACTCTTTGTCACCTATTTATGAAAAAATGATTACTGACATGAAGTTCTAGACAATCCCTGTTGTAAGGAAAACAACTTGAACATACTGTAGGGTTCATTGAAGATGATGCCTGAAGCCCCAAACTGAGGGAGCAGGACTCATGAGAATGAGAAGACCGTGTCTCAAAAACAAAAATGAAGGAGCATCCGCACTCGTGCGGTAAATCGGGTGCGGTAAGGTTAAATTTAACGCAACCGCGGGGTCTTTTCCACACCGGCCCAGGCGCGCCCCAAAAGTACTAAACAGGACGGGGCGCGCCCCTATATAGTATTCCGCTGTTAGCCGATGGTCTTGACCCTCGAGTTGAACACACATTCATCTCAATAGTTCTCCAACAGGATATCAGCCTCAATGCCCAAAGAAAAACAGAATTCGTCTCAATCGGCAAGCAACTCTGCGGAATGGATCTCACCTAATAGCACATGTTTGCTCCGCTGGATAGGATTCTTGATGTCAGCAACACGTGATCTTTCAAAAGCTCGCCGACTTGCACAGTGTACTCACTGCAAGTCAGTCATGGACGGAAAGCCAAGTAGACTTCATTTGCACATGACAGAGAGCTGTAGATCCATAACAAGTGAAAAAAGATCTGAATATATCCAACTCACGGCCAAACTCAAAGAAAAATCTGACTGCCAAAACACCCATCTCAAGCACCCCAGCAGCAGCTTCCTCTTCCCTCTTTTCAACTAAAAAACCCAAAATTGTCCACACATTTGAAGATCTTCATCACTTCTGCGAACAGAAAGAATATAAAATGAATGAGCTTTATGAGGAACTACTGGTCTCCTTAATCGGTGGACGTATACCTTTCAACTTCCTTCACAACCCCGCCTTTTGACGTTATCAACGGCAACTTTCTGTTGCACCTTATCAACCCCCTTCGCGTTTCATAATGATGGATAGAATACTTCCAAATTTAGATGCGAATTGTGTACTCGCTATGCGTAATGACCTCAAGCAACAAACCGGCTTGACAGTCTCTTTAGATGGGTGGACCGATGTAGGGAGAAACAGTGTTTATGCTGTTCTTGTTCTACGCGGAAATGAGATCAAACACTTTGTTGATCAGCTCAATCTTCATGAGATGAGACATACATCAGAAAACATCTTGCAAGCCTTGAACAAATCCCTTGAAGGCTTGGAGCTTTGATGGGATAACATTAATGCTGTTGTGACAGACTCTCCTTCCACTATGGTCAAGTTCTGTGTAAGTCTATCCCTTTTGTTTGTTGGATATGACACATAACTTACTATCCTGCTTGGTTGATACAGAGGCTTGTTCAAGAGGAGCATAATCATGTATTTGGATTAGCATGTGTCTTACATGCATTCAATCTTATTGCTAAGGACTTTCTTAACCACCAAAGTATGAAGGATGTTACTTCTCACAACAAAAAGCTTGTCAATTTCTTTACATCATCAGCATTCTGGGCCAAAAACCTTGCATCTTGGATGAAGAAGGAAGGAGTCACTCACGCTCTCCAGACAGCCTGTGAAAGCCGCTGGTCCAGCTTCACCAAAGTCTGTCTTTCTGTGGATCAGCATGAGATAGAATTTCTCAAATGTGTTGAGAAAGCCAAAGATCAATTGGTGGACACACCTAAAATTCCACCTCCCATTTGCCAGCTAGTCCAAACTTGAGATCACTTTACTGCAAACAAGGCACTTGTTGGATTTCTGAAACCCGTCTTGGATGCACTAGCTTGCTTGGAACACAAAATCACCTCAATTGCAGATATCTACTTTGCACAGTATATTGCGCGTTAAAAACAATTGATATCTCAATTTGGCCCCAATATGTCAACTTCAAGAACAATTGTCTTAAGCTTTTGAACAAACGTGCGGAGATGTACAAGACCAATATCTACATTGTTGGCTTTTTCCTGGCCCTGAGTTATCTTCATATGGCAGTGTATTGTAGATATTCTATTACAGATATTCAAAGGATGATGGTAAACATCACTTTTGTTTGGGGTTACTCAAAGGCAGACACAATCAACCTGAAAGATCAAGCCATCATGTACCTCAAAGGTATTGAGCCTTTCAACTTGTCCAAGCAATGTAAGTACAACTAAACTATAAAAGCTTCAAATGATTTGAGACCTTCTACTTCAAACTGAAAAATCATACATTGCAATATCTCATATGTAGTTTCCCTTGCACTTGATTACTGGCGTACATTACCAGTGACACTAACTACAAACCAGATCAGTCTGTTTGCCATCAAACTGCTTGCGCTGGTACCCCATGCTGGGGGGTTCAAAAGCCTCTTTACGTGTATGTCAGCCACCATGACCAAGTTTTGCAATCAAATAACTCCAACTCACTTGAAGATGATATCCCAAGCTAAATTATCACTTGCACATAAATCAAAAAAAAACAATTCTGAAAGCAAAATCAAAATCAAAAACAACAAAGAATTTGAATCACAGGCAACTTGCTTTTCAGGACTAGAAGAACTTGAGGAGTTTGAAAACAGAGTTTTCCCTCAACAAGACCAGACTGATCCGATGTTCAGGGGATTAGATCCAGATTTATTTGATGACATGATACGAGATCTTTTTGATCTCACCAGTTTTGTACCTGATTCTTTACACAGTGTGAAATCTACACATTCAGCTGATGCTATTGTAGATACCGCAGCTGCAGTGTGGGACCCTGCTGATCTTTTTTGAATGCAAGGAAGGCAAACATTCTTTTCAAGAGTTTTTTTGGCTTTTTTTTACAAGAAGCGCCCCTCAGGAAACCAGTCTCTGCGCCCAGGCGCGCCCATAAAAAAGAGAGCGCACCCACAACATGACTCAGGGCCTGTGTGGCTGGTTCAGCCAAAAGTGTTATGTACACAAAAACACTTTTTCAATCCACCTCTTTTTCATGGGGCGGAATGAAAAACATGAAATTTGGGTTTTTGATTACCAAACACTTGACCAAAGAGTTCATCAAAAAGTTGAAATAGAGGGGCAAATAAGGGCAAAAACCCTTTTTGGTCTCAAAAACAGCCTCAGGGCTGTTTTTCAATACTGAAGACTTTTTGATCAAAAATGGTTTTTTTTGATCAAACAAAGTCACCAAACATTGGTGTTTTTGATGAAAATCAAAAACGGTTTTGACCCAAAAACAGTTTTTGGCTTTGGTGGCGCTTTTGACCAAAAACTGTTTTTGGGTTCCAGCCAAACGGGCCCTCACATTTTGTAAGTTTGCCTTGAGTTGCTTTAGGCCCTCAACTTGAAAACCTCTTGAGAAGGATCTGAAGAGGGCAAAGGATGGGGAAGACTTGGTTCTATAATCTTCCCTAAAAATTGAGGGCTTTGTTCTGTGCAAGACTATGTTATTTTGGATTGGAGATAACCTCTGCCAAACCAAAATTTAATCAGGCTGAAAAGTGCTGATAAGTTGTTAATCCCTCCTCCACAGGCTCCAGAGGACACCTGCAATTGGAGGAGGGACTTAGTTAAGTTAGTCAAATTGAATGTTCAAAGGTTGGGAGAAGTAGAAGCCATCCTCAAAGGAATGTTTTTGGCTCAAGTTTTGGTTTTTTAGTTGTGTTTGAAAGTGGTCATCAAATACAAATCACACCACAATCCTAAGATCTGAAATTCTGTGATGCTACTACGTGAGAGAAATAGTAGGGGTTGGGCAAAAGTCTGACCAAGTTTTAGCCAGTGGATCTGGTGTCATAGATTTTGTTGGAATTTGGTTGAATTCCGCCAAATCATATCAAAGGTGTCACAAGTACTTTTTTCTGAGATGCCCAGGGCCAACATAAAAATCTAGTGATGTGTCAGACCACTGCAGAATTGATACCAGTGACAGGAACCAAGCCAGACAAACAGAGAGGCTTTTGAACAGCCTGTTTGTTTGGCCAGACAAGTGTTTCAGAGCTGAGATGCTGGGCTTAGTGTCACACCACACAGTTATTTTTTCTTCCTTTTTTTCCAAAAAAAATATGCTGGCTTTGATATTTTTTGAACAGTGGCTCACCTTCAGTCGCTTTTGAACTGAATTAGATTTCAATTGCAGCTTGGGTCACCAACAAGCAGTGTCCCCCCAAACCCTACTGACTAGCTACTGACACCGTGGGAATCATTAAGTGTGAAACTGGATTGAGCAAAGTTGTGGTGTGCGGGTCTGCAACTTTCTTCAATTGTGGATCTTGTTTGCCATAGGTTGCTAGCTTGCATCAAGATGCCCTTGAGTTGTCTACCTGAGCTGCAGTATATCAACCACAACAGTGCATACATATTTAATGAAGCTGATCATGATACCTTCCTTTATCCTGCCTTTATGCATGT